TCGAAAGCTAGAAACAATTCAAAAGTTCACCAACAGATGAATGGATAAACAAAATGTAGACTATCCATACAATGGAATATAATTCAGCCATAAAGAGAAATGAAGTTCTTATACTTGCTACAACATGGAAGAAACTGAAAACATTATGCTGAGTGAAATAATTCAGACACAAAAGAACAAATATTATATGATCCCACTTATATGAAATATCTAGAATAGACAAATGCGTGAAGCAGATAGTGGTTACTAGAGGTTGGGGGAATGGGAGAATGAGGAGGTATTGCTTCTTGGGTACAGAGTTTCTGTCTGGTGTGATGAAAGTGTTTGGAAATAGTGGTGATGGCTGCACAACATTGTGAGTGTGATTAATTCCACTGAATTGTACACTTCAAAATGGCTAAAATGACAAATTTATGTCACATATATTTTGCCACAATTAAAGACGGAAAAGAAGGAGGAGGAGGAACAGAAGGGGAAGAAGAAGAAGAAAGAGCAGGAGGAGGAGGAGAAGAGGGCAAAGACAGGCCTAAGCCAGTAGCTCATGGATTCACCCAGGAAATAGCGATTGGTTCAGGAATAGGCATGTGACCCAAATTGGATCAATGAGACATGAGGAGATCATTTGTAGAGGCTTCTTGTAGGTAAGAGAAAGTCACAGGAAGAAATGCTTTCTTCCTCTTCTGCCAAAATGGTTGAAAAAGCATGCAGCTTCGTTTGCTATTGGCAGCACCTTTATGATCGTCTGGGATCCAGTTTTATCATGAAGTCCACACAGTGAATGGCAGGCAGTGATATGGGAAGAACCTGGATCCTTTCTGACACCCTTGAACTGTTGCATCAAACAACCCCGATGTCTGGACTTTCTGTTACATGAACCTATACATTTCCTCATTGTTAAAGCAAGTTAAATCAGGTTTATGACACTTGTGACCAAAAACAACCTAATTGCTACATATGATTATGATGCTAGTTTAAGGAAATATACTATTTGGCGCTAGGGACAGAGCCATTTCTTATCTTTTGAACCAATTTCACCTAAAAATGTATCATGCTCTGGCTTTCTCCTGGGGTAACGGTTTCTCTCCTTCAGATTAAAAACCAGAAAAAGTTGGAAGGCCTCAGGCTAGGAGCAGAGTTTTTGGCCTTCATCAGAGGAATAAACTAGCTGCCATCAAGTTGACTCCAACTCATGATGATCCCATGTGGGTCAGAGTAGAACTGTGCTCCACAGGGTTTTCAGTGGCTGATTTTTTGGAAGTAGACCATCAGGTCTTTCTTCCCAGGCACCTCTGGGTGGACTTGAGTCGCTAACCTTTCGGTTAGCAGTTGAGCATGTTAACCATTTGTACCACCCAGGGACTCTACAGCAGAAGTGACCAAGTCAATTAAAAGCATTTTCCACAAACAAGAACTAAGATGCCATCAATTGGGAAGCTAGGAAGTGAGGAATCTGGCTTAAGCGTTCCCTTTGGAGCAAAGGCCAGGTGAGTCATAGAAGGAAAACCCTGAAACTGTATATGCTGGCTGTGATTTTTCTGCCTATAATTTCTGTGACTTAAAACCTTTGTTTAACCTTAGTATTTAAAAAAAATACTTTTTGAACGTTCAAATGTATCTCTTCTGTGCTAAGAGGGAGTCAAGGCCCTTTCAAGGAGTTGAGTGTACCCCTGACGACAACTGGAATTAAAGTGAGAAGACTCTAAGGCAAGAGAAAAGTTAAGGCGCTTGAATCTCCTTTGGAGATTCTTCTAGAGCTGACCCCAAGAGGTACTGGGTTATATTTTACTGATGAATATCACGTCCTTTACATCATCATGGTATCTTTGAGACTATGTTGGGTTACAAATGGACTTAACTCTGCACCCAGATGACCAGAATGGTCACATTGGTGACAGAAGCATGGTCCCTGTGCAGTGTTCTCTCACCTCATGAGTGCTCAGATTAGCAGGTTAGGCAGCCAGTGTACTTATAAAAGCCTCAGCCACCATTAACACACAGTATGCAACATGCATTAGACTGTTCCCATGTGGCATTTGCAACTTGAATGCTGAAGTCTCTCTGAATCAGTACCAGTACAATCCTATATGGATGTTAAGACCCTGCTCATCCATTTTGGAGCACCTTGCAGGTTCTCAATATATGGGATCAATATACAGAAAGTAATTCACGTATCAGCACAATCAGCAGTGCACAGAAGTAGAGACTAGTAAAGTAAGCATTTTTTTTTTTTTTTAACTACTGAAGTTGGAGTAAAGAAGTAAGTTGTGGCAATTTTTTCAACCAACCACTCAGCAAAAGAAAATGCAGTTTTGTATGTCCATCTTTACTGACTGATTGTAGATCTATTTGACTTTAATCACCTTTTTTTTTCTGAGCAATTTTAATCGGTTATGTGTATGCACCAGGCTTACTTACTAAAAAAGTATTAGAATAATATCATTGGGAATACTGCTGAGTTCCTGAAAGAAAACAAACCTAAGAAAAAAAATACCATACAAATTCTCAACAATGTAATTAATGTTTTTTAATTTGATTGGGTTTTCGCCACATGTCCCCAAACAATTGCACACATTATCAGTTACTGTGAAATTTTTATTCAGAGTGACAAAACCATTTTTGAATTCTAAGTACACAAAAATATTAGTTTACTGTCTTGATTTTGATATTTATTTGAATCCCAAATATGTGCTTTTATTTTTTAAATTATGCCAGACTATTAAAAATTCATTCTTTGCCCTCCAGTTTTACTCCATGATTATATATATGAAGTTAGAAATCACTCAAGAGAGACATAGCGGTGTCCCCAGTCAAAAATCTCAGCTATATACTATATTTAAATATTATCAATATGATGCAATTGAATTACGGTATTGTTGAAGAATATTAAATACACCATGGATAGTCAGAAGAACAAACAACTCTGTCTTGGAGGAAGTAAAGCTAGGATGCTCCTTGGAAGCGAGGATGGCGAGACTTCATCTCACATACTTTGGACATGTTATCAGGAGTGACCAGTCCCTGAAAAAGGACATCGTGCTTGGTAAAGTGGAGGATCAACAAAAAAGAAGAAGACCCTCAATGAGATGGATTGACACAGTGGCTGCAACAATGGGCTCAACCACAGCAATGATTATGAGGATAGCACAGAACAGGGCAGTGTTTCTTTCTGTGGTACACAGGGTTGCTATGACTCAATGGCATCTAATAACAACATAACAACATACTGCTTATGACTTCTTTAGAAAATAAAACCAAAAAACTAAACTCTTTGCCATCAAGTTGATTCACAGCGTTTCCAAAGAGCGGCTGCAGATTTGAACTTTTGGTTAGCAGCCAAGCACTTAACCACTGCACCACCAGGGCTCCTCTTTAGAAAATAGATAGTCCAAAATATATTGATTTTCTGTTGAAATGAGAATCTGCAAGGTGCTCCAAAATGGATGAGCAGGGTCTTAACATCCATATAGTATTGTACTGGTACTGATTCAGAGAAACTTCAGCGTTCAAGTTGCCAGTGCCACATGGGAACAGTCAAATGCATGTTGCATACTGTGTGTTAATGGTGGCTGAGGCTTTTATAAGTACCCTGGATGCCTAACCTGCTAATTCTTCACCAATACCATAATTCAATTGCATCATACTGATAATATTTAAATATAGTATATAGCTGAGATGTTTGAATGGGGACACTGCTATGTCTCTCTTGAGTGGTTTCTAACTTTAAGACTATATATATATATACACATAGACAGAAAGATAATCATGGAGTAAAACTGGAGGGCAAAGAATGAATTTTTAATACTCTGGCATAATTTAAAAAAAGAAAGCACATATTTGGGATTCAAATAAATATATGAGAATCTCTCACATATGCACCAATTCATTCCCTTTATTTAAAAACAGAAAGCTAATCTTTGGGGCAGTAATTTGTAGTAATACTGGGATCTATGATTTTGGTTATTGTTATTTTCATTATTGCTCAGTAATTTGGTTCATAAAGCAGTAAAATATAGGACACCGTGAGACCCATTTTCAGCAAAGCAAGCAGTTACAGGGTTTCACCATACAGCTTGCAACAGACTTCCTGTGCAATGAGAAACACATTTCCACCCACCACGCTGAAATTGATGTTAATGGAAGCATACTTAAAAATACAGGAAAACTGAAATAGGTAGCTATCGTGGATTGAATTATGTCCCCCCAAAAATGTGTGTATCAATCTGGCTGGGCCATGATTCCCAGTATTGTGTGGTTGTCCTCCATTTTGTGATTGTAATTTTATGGATTTAAAGAGGATTAGGATGGGATTGTATAACATCCTTACTAAGATCACATCCCTGATCCAACGTAAAGAGAGTTTCCCTAGGGTGTGGCCTGCACCACCTTTTATCTTACAAGAGATAAAGGAAAGGGAAGCAAGTAGAGAATTGGAGACCTCATACCACTAAGAAAAAAGCACCTGGAGCAGATGGTGTCCTTTGGACCCGAGGTTCCTGTGCAGAGAAGCTCCTAGTCCAGAGGAAGACTGATGAGATGAGGAACTTCTTCCAGAGCCAACAGAGAGAGAAAGCCTTCCCCTG